TTAGGTAAAAACCCGTCCAGGGGGGGTTCTTTCAATCCTGGAGGGGGGATCGTTCAAGCAAAATCCTGCAGGAGGGGTTTCTTCGATCCTGAATGGGGGTTCGGTCAACGGAAAACCCTGCCAGGAAGATTTTTCCCCACATGCTTAGTGGGGTTCTGGTTTTCCCCCTTCCCGCGTCGCACCCGCGTCTCCTTCTCCTCCCCTCCTCCTCCTCCTCCTTCTCCATCTCACACAGTACAGCGCAGCACAGCGCAGCGCAGCGCAGCACAGCACAGCACAGCTCAGCTCAGCACAGCACAGCACAGCACAGCACACAGCACATTGTCACACAGCACGTACACAGCACAGCACAGCACTGCTCAGCTCGGCTCGGCACAGCACAGCACAGCTCATTTCAGCACAGCACAGCTCACCCGCGAAGCTCACTCACCTCCCTTGCGGGGTCGCAAAGCGTGGCAGGCGTAGCATATTCTCGACACCATGGGGGGTGCGCAGGGTGTGGTCTCTCACCAGGGCTGCTATCCGTGACGGTCGTCCATGGCACAGCAGGCATGGCGTATTCTCGACACCACGATAGAGTGTGCGCAGGGGGTGGTCTCTCATTGCGGCCGCTATCCGTGACGGTCGTCCATGGCACAGCAGGCATGGCACATTCTCGACAACACCATAGGGGGTGCGCAGGGGGTGGTCTCTCACCGCGGCCGCTATCCGAGGCGGTCGCCTAGGGCAAAACAGGCATGGCATATTCTCGACAGCACCATAAGGGGTGCGCAGGGGGTGGTCTCTCACCGCGGCCGCTATCCGTGACGGTCGTCCATGGCACAGCAGGCATGGCATATTCTCGACACCATAGGGGGTGCGCAGGTGGTGGTCTCTCACCGCGGCCGCTACCCGTGACGGTCGTCCAGGGCACAGCAGGCATGGCGTATTCTCGACACTATGGGGTGTGCGCAGGGGGTGGTCTCTCACCGCGGCCGCTATCCGTGACGGTCGTCCATGGCACAGCAGGCATGGCATTATTTATCGGGACACCATAGGGGTGAGTGCGCAGGGGGTGGTCTCTCACCGCGGCCGCTATCCGTGACGGTCGTCCATGGCACAGCAAGCATGGCATATTCTCGACACCATAGGGGGTGCGCAAGGGGTGGTCTCTCACCGCGGCCGCTATCCGTGACGGTCGTCCATGGCACAGCAGGCATGGCATATTCTCGACACCATAGGGGGTGCGCAGGGGGTGGTCTCTCACCAGTGCCGCTACCCGTGACGGTCGTCCAGGGCACAGCAGGCATGGCATGCACATTCTCGACTCAATAGGGGGTGCGCAGGGGGTGGTCTCTCACCGCGGCCGCTATCCGTGACGGTCGTCCATGGCACAGCAGGCATGGCGTATTCTCGACACCATAAGGGGTGCGCAGGGGGTGGGCTCTCGCCAGGGCCGCTATCCGTGACGGCCGTCCATGGCACAGCAGGGGTGGCATATTCTGGACACCATAGGGGGTGAGCTGTGGGTGGTCTCTTACCGCGGCCGCTATCCGAGACGGTCGTCCAGGGCACAACGGTATCGGCGTGGCAACGGCCACCAACATCATTCTCACATGCTTCACTTCAGCTAACATCAATCCAGCCATCATATAAGGATGTGGGGTTTCTCGGTAGCGTAACTTTTATTCGTGGATGGGGAGTTCGTTCAAAAAATCAATCCAGGAGTGTTTTTTTGTGGATGCTGGAGGGAGAGGTTCGTTCAAAAAATACATCCAGAAGGGGTTTCTTGATCCTGGAGGGGGTGTTCGTTCAACATGAACCGTTCCAGGAGTGTTTTTTGTGATCCTGGAGGGGGGTTCGCTCAAAGAGCGCTCTTGACCCCTCCGAACTCTTCCTAACCCCTCCTCAGAAGGATTCCCGCTTCCCGCCCCCCCCCCCCCCCCAGGGACCACCCCTGACAACAACCGCTGGCCCCTCCTGTTCCCCTGCTGACCCCTCCTCAGAAGAGTTTCCGCCCACCGCCCCCCCCCGGGAATCCCTCCTGACCGCTCCTGACCCCTCCTCAGACAGGTCCCCGCCCCCCGAACCCTGCCCGGGAACCTCTCCTTACCCTTCCTGACCCCTCCTGACCCCTCCTCAGAAGGGTTCCCGCTCCCCGACCCTCCCCCGGGAACACCTCACGACGCCTCCTGACCCTTCCAGGAGGGGCTTTTTAGATCCCGGAGAGAGGGTTCGTTCAACAAAAACCCATCCTGGAAGGGCTTTTTGGAACCTGGAGGGGGTTTCGCTCAACAACATCTATTCCAGACAGGTTTTTTTTATCCTGGAGGGGGGGCTCGGTCAAAAACAATTATACAGGAGTGTTTTTTGTTGATCCTGGAGGGAGGGTTCGTTCAAAACAACCCTTCCAGGAGGTTTATTTTTTTGATCCTGGGGGGTTCGTTCAACAAAAAACCTACCAGGAGTTTTTTTTTTTTGGATCCTGGAGGGGTGGTTCGTTCAAAGAACTCTTCTGGCCCCTCCTGATCCCTCCTGACCCCTCCTCAGACGGGTTCCGCCCCCCGACCCCCCCCAGGGACCTCTCCTGACCCCCCCTGACCCGTCCTCATGAGGGCTCCCGCCACCCGACCCTTTCCCGGGAACCCCTCTTGACCCCTCCTGACCCCTCCTGTTCCCCTGCTTACCCCTCCACATAGAGTTGTCGGAAGTGCTCATCATCCACCTCTTCTTGCTTTCTCCTCCCCCTCATCCTCCTCCCTCCTCCTTCCTTTCTTCAAAGTCACGTTGATAAATCGCCCACGGCAGAAAGGTGGGGCCCAGGGCTCTGTTGGAGTTTTGCTATATTTTTTAATAGTTTTTCGCGACGTTGAATCTCGGGGACGGGAGGTTTTTGGTCGATTTCTGCCTCCAAGAGCCTTCGCTGGGCCCTGAGACCGTCAAACAGTGACTCGGAGTGAAAGGCGAGCCCCGGGGAAAGGGTCGGCGGGCCCCGTATGGAACGTCGAGACATCATATGTTACCCTCATCGAGGTGAGGTGAGAGGTGAGGGAGGTTCGAGGATCGCGGTTCGACGATCGAGGCTTTTGTACGGCGGTCCTGGTCTTGGCCGCCAGCGCTGCATACCGCGGCCGCCAGGCCCCAGGCCCCCAAGGAGCCTGGTGCGTCCCGGGTGCCCCGCCTCGGGTACTCGGGTGGGGATTGCTCGAAGCTGGGAGAACGCTCTCACCGGTCCCCCGCAGGCCGGGGCGGGCCCAGGCGCGGTCGGCGTAGTGTGCAGGCGCAGTCGGCATGTGGGTTGCGAGCAGCCCTAGCTTTGGGGGGGCGCCCTTGCGTTCTTCGTACTTGGGCCCTCCACCTTGGAGTTCTCGTCGCTCTGGCCTTTCCATGGGGCCTCGGGCTCGTGTTCTTGACATGCGTTCTTTTGGCCATGTTCCAGTCGGCGGCGAGCCAAAGGGGGAAGTGAGAGGGGGCAGGCCTTCTAGATGGCGGCGGAACTTCTCGAAAGCCCTCTGGCCTCCTCATGGCGCGGGGGCTTCTCAGAAGCCCTCTGGCCTTCTGAGAAGCCGTTTGTTTTTTTTCGGAAAAGGCTCAAAACACATCTCAGAAGGCCAGAGGCCTTCTGAGCCTTCTGAGAAGGCCCGCCCCTTCTGACTTCCCCCCTGGACTCGCCGCCCAACTGGGCCGTGCTTCAACGTCTAATCGGCATCAACATGCACTCTTTCGGTTGCAAGTCATGAGAGCCTCGCATGTTCTCGGAATTCCGTCACTTGAGTCCATTCGCGTGCGCTGGCGACCGGTAACTCATCGATGGGAAATCACCAGTTCAGCGTCGACGAGCGTCGATCTGGCGTTGGCTATCGTCGATTGGGGTAGTTCATCGTCGACCCGCAAGAGCGGGCCAGAGGACATGGCCGGGCCCCGTGAGCTGCCACAGAACGCTCTCGGAGGCCCGCGCAGACTCCTCGGATCGGCGCTGGACCTCCTCCTCCTCCTCCTCCCTCTTCCTCCTCCTCCTCTTCAGCATCGAAAACCGACGACGTGCGATCGAAATCGGTCCCCAGGCCCGTCTTCTCCCCCGGCCGCGCGGAGCGCCTGCAGAGGCGGCGATGGAGGCGCCGCCGGGGGAGGCCAGCGCAGATCGAAGCTGTCATCGCGGACCTCCGAAGGGTTAAGCAGATGCTGGTTCTGGGCAGATGCAGTCTTCCGCGACGCGGTGCAGTCAACCCGCACAGTGAGGATGGGCAGCCTGCTCAAGGGTACCCTTGCATCCTTGCCTCCTCGGTCCATCCTTGGCCACTTTCGCTGGCCGCGCCCCGCTCGAAAAGCTTCACAATGGGCGTCCAAGGCCCTTGTATCCTTATCGCGCATCCTTACTATACTGGTTGACTGTATTTTTCCTCAACGTCGGAGCGCGAGGGAGTTCCCCGTCGGCTCCCTGGATGATCACGGACTTTCCTGAATTTGGCGACATCGACCCCAGCCTTGTGGGATTCATCGATGACTTGTTTCGCATGATGCTGCTGTCGCCTGGCACACCATCAGAGTGTATCGCCTACTTAAATGCAGAGGGTGACGCTTTTGATGAGTGGCTTCAGCGAGGAGGCTACAAGCAGAACCGAAAGAAAGAGGAGATCATCGTGTCCTTAGACACCCGCCAACATGTGCATGACCTTGCCAAGCACGGACAGCTTCCTTGTGTCCTGCTGCATACCCTCCGCCATCTCGGCGGATGGACGACGCCTGCCTGCACGAACACGACTGACGTGGAAAAAAGATTGCAAAGCATGGCGATCGGTTGGTGTGCTTACTCAGGAGCCTGGGGGGACCCCAAGATCCCCAAAGATTTCAAGCGCCTTTTGTTCTTGGGAGTCGTTTATAATGCTAGCCTGAGTGGTTTGGAAGCCAATGTACTGACGAAGGGGGAGGAGGACAAACTCGACGGAGCTGCCGTACGTAAACTTAGGTGTATGATGAAGGGAGCGGCTTCCTGGACTGACCCCAGTGGCCAAATCAAACAGATGAGCAACACGGACGTCCTGAAGTATTGGAAGTTGGCCCCCGTCTCCCTTGCCCTCAAAGTTCGTAGGATTACATGGTATAAGCATGCACTTCGTTATCGACATCAGTCTCGCCAGTGGTGGGCCACTTTATTAGGACGTTGCCGTTTCGAACGAGACCGCGACCGAGCTAATGAGCTAGGAGATTTGGATTTGCCAGTCGCCCCGCCCACGATCGTCGAGGGACGCATCAACATGAATCCAAAAGCGAACCCATGGGCCCGTCAGTTCTTCAAGGATCTCCAGGACCTGGCTGAGGATGAGGAGGCGGGGGAGTTTAACGAGCTCTGGGAGGATCGTCGTGTCGAAACACTGTTCCAGGAGAACGTCGTCACAGCCTTGAGAAATATCGACGAGCGACGCATGCTTCGGAAATTCTCGAGTGCCGCTATTGCACCACCATCGTCGACACCACCGCCACCACCACCTGCTGCCTTCAATGGGGGCGAGGGTTCTGGCGATTACGTATGTGGGTTGAAGATGGAGGGAGGAGATATTTGCCAACATCGAGCTAGAACACGAAAAGGGTTGCTTGCACATCAGCGCTCAGCAGGATTGGGCGGCGATCACGGTCGGCCAAACATATTGTACCTGCTCGCGATGTCTAATCGATGCTTGATATGCTCCACGGTGTTTAAGACGACGCATGAAACATATATGCGCATCAAAGCGTCCTGGAAACATTCACGATGTTATGCGACACGCACGAGATTCCCGTACGAGTTTATCGAACCGCCAGAACGCACATGCCCTGCGTGTTTCGTAGCCCAAGAATTCGAGACCTTTGAGGAGTTAGAGCGCCACCTTTTTTCGCACATACCGACACCGCCGTCTGGGGAATTACGCGTGGTGGTGCATGATGGCGACGCCCGACTGGCTGCCCAAGATGCTGGGCGAGCCGATGGACGTGGGCACGCCGCAGGCGACGGGCCGCCGCGCTCGGGAGGAGGGTATCGACGTCGAGGCAGCCGAGGGCCCGCGGCTGAAGGGAGGACGGGTCAGCCGTCCTCAGCGCCGCCAGCGCAGGCGCAACAAGGAGCAGCCGAAGGCCGTGCAGATGGCCGACGGAGGGATGAAGACCATGATGCTGGTCATGCTGAAGCAGCTGATTATCAATGCCAAGCAGCTGCGCGAGATTCGGGGCCAGTTGTACGATACGTACCTCGTGGAGGCCAAGGCAAAGCCCGTGGTATCCATGCAGCAGGGGGGAGCCGCATACGCGGCCGCCGTGAAGGAGAAGGGCAAGGGCCACAACCTCGGCCCACCAGCCGCGACCGTCTTCGTATACCTTTTGAAGGCGCTGATGGAGCTGGAGGTGGGGGCCCAGAATCGGAAAGGCCTGGAGCAGCTGCTGCAGCGGATCGAACATTCGAACCGTGGGACTTGGTGCAGATGTGCCACGTATGCCGCCTGGAGAAGTGCTACGACGAGGGCAAGATCAAGATCGTGCTGGCGACACCCGTGGCCGAGGTGCGCAAGCTGCTGCGCCAGTGCATGGAGCAGATCGGAGCGACGACGACCGTCGGCCAGGCTCCCGCGGGGTACCTAGAGGAGGAGCTCGGAGCGTACGTGGACATGATCGGCTCGTCATGAGCCGCTCGAGGACTGCCGCCTGCGCCCGTGCTCCCGCCAGGAGCCCGAGGAGGGGCGGCGGGGAGGTGGGGGGGGGGGGAAGTCAGAGCTCTCTCGCGAGTTTCGGTTTCAGGCGGCGCCCTGATTGAGGGGGCGACCGTGGAAGCCCCGTTCTCAGTCCGTCGGGGGGCGGGCTTTTTTACCCGTATCTGGGAACACGCTCCGGGGCGTGACAGCGAGGCGATTGCGAATAGTGCTGAGTGTCGAGCTTTTTCGGTCCACTGGCGAAACCAACATCGTGAAACGGTCCTCTAAGCTGCCTAATAAAAAAAGAAAAAAACCTTACTCTACGGGTTGATTGTAATCTCTCTCGTGCTCCATCCCTCTCCCTCCCCATTCCATCCGTCCCCTGATTCGCAGTTGTAGAGGCTGGGCCCTCGTCGTCTTTGATCGTACCCCGAAAGGGGTACGATTGGAAACGAAGCAGGCGGGTATGTAGGGGTTGGGATGCATGTTTTCAATGGCGCGCGAGCCACTGAGAGCGAACTGTCTTAAAATGATTGGTGTTGTTGTGGTTCTACCAGGGGGAGCAAGAGGTTGGCGGACTGCAAGATCTGCAAGACTGTGAACCGGTTCCAGCCGACGCTGTACGCCAGAGAGCGGAGCGACGGGTGCGGCGCCCGTTTGCAGGAGGTCATTTTGTGGGCAGCCATCGCGGCCAAAAACGGCATGACCTTCGGCGGCCTGATCTCGAAAGGGATATGCTCCGAGTCGCACGGCGCGGACATCTTCGTCGCCGCGACCGCGCTGCTGGGGTTGAGCGCGCCGGAGGACCACAGAGGAGGAGACGGTACCGATACCGCTACCTTTCCCCATCGTTTTCGCTCACTTAGGCCTTCTGGAAGGCCCACGTCGCCACCGCTAGATTCGCCTCGAAATTTTGGTCAGAACGCACCCCAGGAGAGGTCTGGGGAGTAGCAGTGTCGGTGTCTGTTGAGTTCCCCAGGACCTGTTCGTCGATGACCCCCCGGAGTTCGAGCTCCAGTACAAGGGGCTGAACGACTTCCACAGGAGGTTCAGAGAGGGCGACGTGAGGAAGGAGGACTACGACCTCTACCCTGGAGCAAACGTGGTCGTGTGGGAGAGGTTGGGGGGTTGCTATAAAGGTGCCCTTGGCCCAAGGTGCCCCCCAGCTTTTCGCTCAATTCTAGAGCCCCTGAGGCCTCTGGGCCTCGTGATAGGGTGCTCTGGAGGCCGCAGGGGCCTCCTCCTCCCTCCTCCTCCTCCTCCTCCTCCTCCTCCTCCTCCTCCTCCTCCTCCTCCTCCTCCTCCTCCCCCTCCCCCTCCCCCTCCTCCCCCCCCTCCTCCTCCTCCTCCTCCTCCTCCTCCTCCTCCTCCTCCTCCTCCTCCTCCTTAGAAATCCTGGGGGCACCTTGGGGCCAGGGGCTCTTCCAGCAACACCCGAGAGGTGCCTCGCCTGCGCCCTCAACGACGACAAGTACGACCTGTCGAGCTTTCTGACCCCCCAGTTCATGCTGCTGCTGCGAGGCTCGACCACCCTCCTCAGCAGGCAGCCCGCCTGGGTGTCGACCGCCCGCCTGGAGGAGCTCCAGGCCTCCGAGATGGGGTCCGAGTAGATCGGGCCGGAGGATCGCGCCGCATCGCCGATGCATCGCCGATGTGGCTCCACGTGGAGCCAGATGTCCTCCACGCCGACGGCGCCGAGGCATCGCCGACGTCGGCGATGCCTCAGCGATGCGGCGCGATCCTTCGACCACGTCTACTCGGGTACCGTCCAGGAGGCCTCCAGGAGCGCCCCGTGGTCGCCCTGCATCTGCGGCGCGGCGACGTCACGCCTGGAGACGACCTCGTCAACCTCAGCCGCAGCGGGGTGCAGCAGAGCAGGCTGACCCCCGACTCCTGGTACTTCGGGGTGGTGGAGCACATCCGCAGCGTGCTGCCGCACGCCGAGGTGCACGTCTTCAGCTCCACCGAGGACTGGAGCTCGCATTGAGGCGGGCCTGTCCCTCCACATGTGGAATATTAAGACATGGTTAAAACTAGCCAGGGGACTATTTTTCTTGTTGTTTCATTTGTTTGTTTGTTTTTTGTTTGTTTGCTTTTGAAGCTGTTTTTTGAGTATGCTTAGATTTTTTTATTCTTTCCTCGAGAATCCCCCTGTGGGAGGACAGGCCCGACCTAAAGCTCGCAGGGGGGCCGAGGTGGCCCAGCAGTGATTCCTGCCAGCAGCAAGGGAGGCGGGGAGAGAACGGTGCCCCTTCGTCGCCAGTGCTGGACGTAGCTCGACAATCCCGTCAGCTGTGTCGACCCTGGGAGGTACGAGCGAGCGCGCCCGTCGCACACTGCTTACGAAAAGGGGGGCCCCAGCTTCAAGCTACCCCCCCCTCCCTTGGAGCAGGGGGAGCTTCCGGAGCTACCTCCCCCCTCACTCCCGGGGGACCTTAGCTAAAGGGGGGGCGACCTTGGCTAAAGGAGGGGGGATCTTAGCTAAGGGGGGGGGGGGACCTTAGCTGAAGGGGGGGAGCTTCCGAAGCTCCCCCCCCCTCCCCCCCTTATTTGGGGGCCAGGGGTCAGCCAGCCGGTTTCCTCTTTCCAAGCGGGGGGTGGGCTTCCGAAGCTACCCCCCCTCCTTCTATTCGGATTTTGTTGCTGGGGGGGGTGGTCCTTGGCTAAAGGAGGGGGAGCTTGGAAGCTGCCCTTGAGTCGGGCGTGTCCCTCTACAGGAGGGATATACAAAAATTGTTAAAACATACTCAGGGGACGAGTTTTGTTTGAGTAGTTTTGAACATTGTTGAGTATTGTTTGAGTATGTTGAATTCTTTCTCCAAAATCCGCCTGCAGGGGGATATGCCCGACCTAAAGCTACCCCCCCTCTCCTCCATTTCGGGCCCGGGGTAAGCCCAGGCTCCGCTTCCCAAAGGGTGGGGGGGGTGCCTCCGAAGCTACCCCCCCTCTCCCCTCCTCCTGCTGGCCCTTCCAGCTGGAGGGCCCTCCCTGAAGGGGGGGCTTCGAAGCTACGTTTCTTCCTTGGTTATCGGCGCCCGTCTTCGGCGTACAGTCAACCCGCATAGTGAGGATGGGCAACCTTCCCAAGGGTACCCTTGCATCCTTTCCACCTCGGCCCATCCTTTGCCAGCTTCGTTGGCCGCGCCCTGCTCGAAAAGCTTCGACATGGGCGTCCAAGGCCCTTGCATCCTTATCGCGCATCCCTACTATACTGGTGGACTGTACTTTGTGGCCTTCGGCGCCTCTCTTCGGTTTTCGGCGCCCCTCTGGTTTTTCGGCGCCCCTCTCCGTTGGCCTTTGGCGCCCCCTCGTGTTTTTTTCGGCGCCCTTTTCTGGTCTTCGGCGCTCTCTTTTTGGTTCTCGACGCTCTCCTATGTTTTTTCCGGCGCCCCTCCGCTTTTCGGCGCCCCTTTTTTTTCCTGTGCGGCCTTCGGTTTTCGGTGCCTCGTTTGTTTTCCGCGCCCTCCTCTGGCTTTCGGCGCCCTCTTGGTCTTCGGCGCCCTCTTGGTTCTCGGTGCTTCTCTAGATTTCGGCGCCCCTGTGGTTTTCGGCGCTCTTTGGTTTTACGCGCCCTGATTCTCGGCGCTCTTTAGCTTTCGGCGCGCCTTTGGCTTTCGGCTCCCCTTTGGTTTTGCTGCCCCTTTTCGGCTATCAGCGCCACGTTGGTTTGTGGCGCCTCTTTGGTTTTCGTCGGCGCCCCTTTGGTTTTCGGCGCCTTCTTGGTTTTCGGCGCCCTCTTGGTTTTCGGTGCTCCTTCGGTTTTCGGCGCTCCTTTGGCTTTCGGCGTCTCCTTGGTTTACGGCGTCTTTTTGGTTATTGGTGTCCTTTTGGTTGTCGGCGCTCTTTTGGTTTTCGGCGCTGCTCTGATTTTCGGCGCTCTTGTGGTTTGCGGCGCATCTTTGGTTTTCCGCGCCACTTGAGTTTTCGGCGCCCTGTCGTTTTTTCGGCGATCCTGTGGTTTTCGGCGCCCTCTTGGTTTTCGGCGCTCCTTTGGTTTTCGGCGCTTTTCGTTTTCGGCGCCCCTGTGGTTTTTGGCGCTCTTTTGGTTTTCGGCGACCCTCGAGTGTTTGGCGACCCTTTGGTTGTCGGCGCCTTCTTGGTTTTCGGCACCCCATTGGTTTTCGGCGTCCCCTTGTCGGCGACTCTTTGGGTTTCGGCGTCCTTTTGGGTTTCGGCGCTCTTTGGTTTTCGGCGCTGCTCTGGTTTTCGGCGCTGCTCTGGTTTTCGGCGCATCTTTGGTGTTCGACGCTCCGCTAGTTTTCGGAGCCTTTCTTTTTGGTTTTCGGCGCCCTTTTTGTTTTCGGTGTTCTTATGGTTTTCGGCGCCTATAGATTTTCGGCTCCCCTTTGCTTTTCGGCGCTCTTGTGGTTTTCGGCGCATCTTTGGTTTTGGGCTCCCTTTTGGTTGTCGGCGCCCTTTTGGTTTTCGGCGTCCTTTTGGTTTTCGGCGCTCCTTTGGTTTTCGGCACTCCTTTGGTTTTCGGCGTTGTTTTGTTTTGTTGTTGGCTCCATTTTGTTTTTTTGCGCCTTTTCTGTTTTCGGTGGCTCTTTTGGTCTTCGGCGGCCCTTCCTTTAGCCAAGTGCGGGGGGCTTCCACACCCCTCCCCCCCCATAGCGAATCAGGGGGGGATGGGGGGGGGCTTCCGGCAAGGGGGGTTCAAAGAGGGGGGGTAGCTAAGCCCCCCCACCTCCTTGTGGAAAAGGGGGGGAGGGGCCAGGGTATATTCGGAGCGCGGGGGGCTTCCGCCAGGGGGGCTTCAAAGGGGGGGGGGTAGATTTTGGCACCCCCATCATGGATTTGAACCGATTGGATTGGATTTTGATTTTGTCTGATTAGACTTGCTCGGGGCCCCTCCAGCGCAGACCCCCCAGCCGTGTCCAAACCGAGGACACCTACGACCCCGAGGAGTTCAACGGCTACAGGCGGAGGGGTATGCACGTGCACCTCGACGGCGACATCTTGGACCCGTGGGCCACGATGGCCCAGGCGCAGGCGCCTAGGGGGGGGGGGGGCGCGGCCGCCGCCGTCGGTCGGTCGGTCGTCTTCGGGAAGCTGCCGCCGCGGCCGGGCGCGGCTCGGGGGCAGGCACCGCAGCGGCGCCCGCGGCGACGCAGCCCTCAGCAGATGCCGGCAGCGCCTGCTCAGCATGTCCTGCTGGCGCACCTCCTGCAGGGGTCGCAGCCTCCCCGGATATCGCGGCCCGGACGGCCCCGTCCCTCCGCCCCGCGACGAGCGCGAGTCTTGTGCGCATGCTTCCTCGTCTCGACCGTCGCGAGCACCGCTGGCTGGTTGCCATGCGCAAGGGTGGCCAAGGGCCCTGCGGGCTTCTGCTTCTCTCCGCGGCCGCTCCTCTTCCCGCTCCTCGTGTCCCCCTGTGCGCAAGCCGCCTCTCTGTGGCCCAGCGCTTCTCGCTGCGACCGACTCACGCGTCCGCCGAGTCTGAGACAAACAAACATGGCACTGCGGGGTCTGCGGGGTGCCCGACACACCCTCGGCCCGCCCTGAGCTGGCGGCGCGCAAAGGTGGTAGGGGGAGGGGGGAAGGCTTCTTCTCAGAAGCGCCCCTGCTTCTTGGAAGGTGCATGCCTTCTCTGCAGATGTCAGGCCAGCGCCTTCTAAGAAGCAGCCTCCTTCTAGGAAGCCTTCCCCCCTCCCCCCGAGGAGGAGGAGGAGGAGGAGGAGGAGGAGGAGGAGGAGGAGGGCACCCTTCTGCGCGCTGCCAGATGAGTCCTCGAATTGCCGTAGCAACACCTTGGACGGCATGTCCAGCGGCCGTGCGTTCGGTCAGCCCATGGCCAGGCCGGGCGTGCCCCAACGCTGTGGGTTCCGCACGCCTCCGAGGTCCAGTCTCGCTGGCCGAACGAAAGGGGGGGGATAGGGAAATGCGGGTTAAGAAATCTGCTGCATGCAGCTGGTTTCGGCCCCGCCGCCGGGCCCACTCCTCGATACATGGGCGCCTGCCGGCACTGGGAGGCGCTGGGAAAAGCGGCTGCGTGAGCTGATTCTCTACCCTGACTTTTGCCACCCCCCCTTTCGTTCCCCCCGACAGTCTCGCTGGCCGGGCAGACTGGCACAGGGCCCAAGGCCAGGGCTGCCGAGGGCGGCGGCCCACCATTCGGCAGGCCTCTCCACACCAGGTGCGGGGAAGCCCCCGACCACGGCCCCTCGCCGCCCAAGGGCTCCCTCGCGCGGCGAGGCCAGATGGCCCGTTCGTGCGTCCAGGCCTACGTCGGGCCTGGCCCTCTACATGAGGCATATTCAAACTCAGTCAAAATACACTCAGAGCACGGTTTTTTGTTTTTCGTGTAGCATTTTCTCAACATGTTTCATTTTTCGGCCAAAATCCACCTGTAAGGGGGCATGCCCGACCTGGGTCCAGGCCCGCTGGGCCCGCCGTCGGGCCGCCCTGTCTGAGCCGACTCATCAGGCGGAGATCCAGAATGGCCATCCCGCGCGCAGTGGCTTGTAGGTCCCAGGGGCCAGATGCGGCGACCGCAGCGGTTGGTGGCGTGGCGGCGCATTGTTCCTTCCGCGGCGATGTGGCGGCACCGTCGCGATGAGCCAAGCCGGGACACGCTCAGGCGAGTGTGCACCTGGCGTAAGCAGGCGTGCAGATTGGGTTCGGCACGAGCGAAGTGGGTACGGAACGAGTGGGCACGATGCCCAACAGCAGGTACGGTTCACTTTCAACGGAGCTCGCTGCCCGCGCCGCCGCAGACGTTTTCCATCTGAGGCAGAACGTCCGCCTGCCCAGCAGCGGCCGCTGTCGATTCTGGACAACACTTATGGCTGGTCGTCGTGCCCGTTTTTTCCGTACCCACTTCGGGCGTCCAAATGGGTGGTGGCATTCGCGTTCGCAAGCAGGGAGCCGAGTCAGGCGAGCCGGTGTGCAAGATGGCTCAGCAGAGGTTCTTGGTATGGCAGCGCAGTCGATGGCTCCCCTGCTTCGGAGAGCACGGCCGTGGCCCCCCCAGACTCGGCTCTGGTTTGGCACGGCCGGCTCCGATACCGTCGGGCCAGATATCCATACATCTTCGCGCATCTGTCGAATCTAGGAAGAAAGAGCATCAACATCGCCTGACGCTGCGCCACAGTCGGCGCCAGATCCTGCTGAAGACCAATCACTTGAGCGCAGCAGCCCTCGATGACCAACGACTCGAGCGCTGCCGCTTCGGAGCAGCGCTGCGTCGGGTCGTTGCTTCTTTGGTGTCTCCAGCTCGCAGCAGCCTTTCTGATCGATCAGCCAGGCCATGCCGGCCTTTCCCTGCCCCCCTAGAGTTCGGACCCTGGGCGCGAGAAGTACGGCGAGGGCATTCGTACATTCGCCCAGGTGGTCCAGTCAACTTCGGCTTAGCTTGGACATCGCCATTGCTCACCTGCGTCAGCTGCCACCCTGGCACTTCGCTGGTCTTATCGCAGGCGACTTCTCTTGCTTCGGGAATCGGTTCCTGCAGTTGTTTGAGCAGCATCCCGCAGTGCGATCATGAGGTCATCAGACCTCAGATTTATTTATTTGCGTCTTGTTGTTCTGTCCTAGCAGCTATCCTCGACAGCTGCAGCTGAGCAATACCCCAGGAGCGCGCCTTGCGCGACGATCTCCCCATCGATGATTGATCTACCTCGTCTCCCATCCTCCCTCGTCGCCCCTCCTTTTCCCCCTTTCCATCCCTTCATTTTCCCTTCCACCCGCTCCTCCCTCGTCGTCGTCATCATCGTCCTCCTCCTCCTCCACCCCTGCGACCAAGAGGTCCTTGTCATGGCCAAGAGCAGCTTCTCGCACGTGCCCGCCATCCTGAACACGCATTGTGTCCCCCCTGCTTTGGCGCCCGCGCGGCGCAGGCGGCGGCGACAGCGACAGCGACAGCGACATCGACGAAAGTGGTGGCGGCGACGATGAGTGGACGGGGGGGATCTGTAAGGGGGACGGTGATGATGATGATGATGATGATGATGATGATGATGATGATGATGATGATGATGAGGAGGAGGAGGAGGAGGAGGAGGAGGAGGAGGAGGAGGAGGAGGAGGAGGAGGAGGGGGAGGAGGGGGAGAGGAGGAGGAAGAGGGGGAGGAGGACCGGCGCCTGAAGAGGTCCGCAGTCGTGGCAGCGCCATTTTTGGACACGCTGCGGCCCTGCTGCCACAGGCTCAGAACATGTTGAAGATGACGGTGACCTGTCTCACAATACTTACGTATGATGCTCTAATCTACTGTAGCCTTGATCACAAAAGTACCGAAACTCGAGGGTTTTCACGTGTCGGGCCCTGGGAGACACTCGTCCGATATTTTTTCGACACTGCTTCGACACTGTTTCGACACTGTTTCGACACTTTTCCGGGTGCTCGAAATTAGTTATGATCTGGGATGTGGTACTTACGTGCGATGGGAGCAACATAACGCAATACCATGGCAATTAAACTTGAATCGTTTGATTGAATGCGTTCATGACAGGAATGCGTGAAAAAGTTATGAGAGACCCATCCACCTTTCGAAAGGGTCGAACACTACGCTGGGAACATCGCCATCGAGACATGGAGGAGGGGTATCATCACGAAGTAGCTGCAGTAGGTGGCGGCTCTGCCTCACTCCGAGCAGGAACCAATGCCTGAGCCGCACAGCTTAAAGTACACCTCCCCGTAGACGTAGAACATTTACACGCCCGTCGTTTATAAGCTTGGTGGACTCGAGAGCCTAACACGCCCCTTGGAGGTGAATCTGAATCTTTGGAGTGATCCACGAAACACTGCCAGCCAGCTTAAGCTGCCCGTCAGATCGGGGCTTTATCTAGTGTGAAGGACGTGGCACAACCTGCAGCGTTACCCGAATCCGGAGCCACCCAGTCTCGAGACAGCAAGGGCTGCTGCCAGCCTGAACCAGATGTTACGTGAGCCAAACTGGCTTGAGCCAAATGGCTAAGGGGAGGAGGAGGACGAGGAGGAGGAGAAGGAGGAGGAAAAGGCGGAGGAGCAGGAAGAGGAGGAGGAAGAGGAGGTGGAGGAGGAGGAGGAGGAGGAGGAGGAGGAGGAGGAGCAGGACCAGCAGAAGCAGGAGCAGGAGTCTTGGAGACCAGCGTTGGCGAGAGCAGGGGCCACATGGTGCGCTCTCTGGGGCCCGACTCGGCAGGACGCCCCCGTGGCGGGGTCCCGCCGCCCCTGCTCCTGTGTCTCCTCTCCCCCCTGAGCGCTGCCTGCGTCGGCCGCCGAGGTCGTCTACCAGCCCTACTGGCACAAGCCGCTCGCCAACTGGATCGTGGCGCTTGGCGAGGAGGACGAGGAGCCCGCGTCACCTCTCGGCCCCTGGCCTCGGGGAGGAAGAGGATGAGGCAGGATCTTGGATTCCTGAACTGGCAAGGATCGAGGGTCCAGGATCGTCGGCGCCTTCTTTATTTGTTCAGTGTGTTGTTGGTGAGGCGGGGAGGACGAGGGATTTGCTTTCGAAAGTTCGAGGATTAGGGAGGATCCATGGCCGACGAACGGGGCCGACGTGTTTCGATGATCGAGGGGCGATATTTTCCAGCATGGAACAACAACAAATTGTCGCATTGTGGATGTGTGAGCGATCTGATGCAAACGATGTGGTGCCGCATACGTCGTGCAAGCTAGAGGCGGCAACGCAGCGGCAACGGGCTGCAACGTGACGAAATTCGCCGGACCCACCCGGCGCACGATACGGCAACGAGGCGGCAGGCCTCGCTGTGCTCCTGGAGGCTCTCGCCCGAGAGCGTGCGGCTCTTGGCCCGGAACTCCCACACGCCATCGTTCAGCTCTGGGCTGGGCGGCTCGAGCCACCCGTGGCTGCACACCCACTTCGGCAGGTCTGGGTACCTTTGCCGAGCTTATGGCCTCCCCGCCCCTCCTCCTCCTCCTCCTCCTCCTCCTCCTCCTCCTCCTCCCCCTCCTCCTCCCCCTCCTCCTCCTCCTCCTCCTCCTCCTCCTCTCCTCCTCCTCCTCCTCCTCCTCCTCCCCCTCCTCCCCTCCTCCTCCTCCCTCCTCCTCCTCCTCCTCCTCCTCCTCCTCCCCCTTCCTCTCCTCCTTCCTCCTCCTCCTCCTCCTCCTCCTCCTCCTCCTCCTCCTCCTCCTCTTCCTCCCCCTCCTTCCCTCCTCCTCTTCCTCCTCCTCCTCCTTTTGGCTTGCAGGGCCTGGGCCCGCAGAGCCCAGAGCGAGACCTGTTTCTCGGGGGGCTCCTTCGCCAGCGTGGCAGCCCAGTGCGACTCCGAGGCCGCCTGGTCGCTCTCCGACTCGTCGCCCTCCGGTTGGGGCATTGCACACCGGCCTTCAATGTCCTCGTCCATCTCTGGCGCCAGCAGCGTCGTGCCGCCCCCCCCCGGCCCATCGCCTCCGGCACTGCATCCGATTCCTTGTTCACGTCCACCTTCTGGTTCCTCTTCTTCTGGAGGCGCCGCCGCCTCGAAGCCGCGGCTGGCAGCAAGAGCCTGTTTGTTCAGGGGCGCCGCCGCGCGCATCATCGCCACACCAGGCCGCCATGACCGCAGCGGCCACGGCAGCCCCAGCGGCTGCGACGGTGCGGCGCGGAGCGCCAGCCCGTGCGGCAGCAGTGACGGCAGCGTCCACCAGGGAAGCCGCCATCGCGCCGCTGCCGGCGTCCACCATCCCACGCGCGCGCCCGAGGAGGGGGGGGGCAGCGCGCCCGTGGAGGGGGCCGGCGCACACGCGCACTTGAGCCTGGGGTTTGTCCGAATGCTGCGCTTTCCAATTTGATTCTTGTTGAATTCCTGCCAAGTTCGTCTTGGGCTAGGAGGAGGAGGAGGAGGAGGAGGAGGAGGAGGAGGAGGAGGAGGAGGAGGAGGGGGAGGAGGAGGGGGAGGGGGAGGGGTGGTCCGAGTACAAAGAGGCCTGAGTTCCCTGGGCGGGGCGAACCCTCCCTCTGCCTCCTCTGCCTCTCCTCCCCCTCGTTTCCCTTCCCCACCCCCAACCCTTCCAGCCCCCTCATTCCCCTTTCCTCTCTTCCCCCTCCTTCCCCTCCCCCTCTCCCCTCTGTCCCCCCCGCCCCTCCACCCCTACCCCTCCTCGCTCTTCCCCCCCGTCCCCGGCCCCTCCACCTCCTGCCCCTCCCCTCTTTCCCCCCCCTTCCTCCCCCTCCCCTCTTTCCCCCCCCCTTCCTTCCCCTTGCCTCCTCCCCCCCCTTCTCCGACGGCCGCAGCGACGAAGAACGACGGTGGCAGTCGCACGTGGCCGTTGGCGCCGCCGTTTCTCGTCTCCGACGTCGCAATCTTCTGGCACCGTGGACTCCTGGAGGTCTCTGCCCGTTCCCTTGGACCGGTTCTCGTCCCGAGTCGCTTCCTGACGGCCCCAGGGCCCCAGAGAGGGCCCTCGGAGGCCGAAGGCAGCAGCAAATTCTTGACGCTTCGCGCAACCCCACCAGCCCATCCAGAGACGATGCCCAGAGGAATTGCCTCGATCAAGGGAAGTGGGCAGCACAGAGGAAGGGTCCCCCAGTGGAGGCCTCTTGGAGCGTCCTGGGGGCCTCTTGGCGGTCCCGGGCGCCTCTTAGAGCGCCTTGGGTGCCTCGGAGAGCTTCTTGGGGCCTCTTGGGGGTCTCTGACGGCCCCCAGGGCCCAAAGAGGGCCCTCAGAGGCCGAAGGTAGCCGCAGACTGTCCGCCGTCGTCTTCCTCGCGACGTCGGCGGCGTGGCCTCCCGCGGCGGCGGCGGCGACCCGCGCCCAGGCCGCGGCGCCGCCCTTGGAGGGCGCCGCGGGAGAGGCCGCGGCCGCACACGGCGGCGCCGCGGCGCCGGCGCGCCCAGCGTTCGACGCCGCGGCGCTGCGCGCCTGCCTCGCCGAGCGCGGCGGCTGAGGCGCCGCCGCCGCGGCCACGCGCGGACGCTGAGGGGGCTGCTTTCCACCACCGCCACCATAGGAGGGGCAGGGGGTCTCCTCCTCCTCCTCCTCCTCCTCCTCGTCCTCCATTCCTTCTCCTTATAGATAACTTCTCCGTGTCGCACCCCGCGGTCAGTTTTCAGGGCGGGTCGGGCGTTTCAAGAGCTTCACGGATTGAGGGCGTGCCGTTTTCAAAATATGGCTCTCGCCTTAGCGCCGCGCACATTCGCCCTAAACATGTGCAAGAGTTTCACGGATTGAGGTCGGGTGGTTTTCAAAATGTGGCTCTAGCCTTGGCGCCGCGCACATTCGTTTCAAATTATTCCGACGGAAAGACCCCACATGAAAGTCCTTTCGGCGAATTTGGAAATGACCTTCATTGTCGTCCTCGCGATTAGTGAGGCGCCCTTCTTGTATTCTCTGCGTCATTATCATTCTCGCCCTGGCGCAGGGCCCTCACCCGCTCACCGCGTTGCCCTTGCCTCGCTATCCTGCTGTTTGTTACGTGACCCACCACTTCCTCTCCTGTCTATTGCACGAGCGCGCGCGTCGATTCTCCTCGACGCCGTCGCCGCCTCGGCCAGCGCGGGCGCATTCTCGAGTGGCCGCGTCGCGCGGCCTTGGGGGACGGGCCACGCCGTTGTGGCAACCGCGCGAGCCGCTGGGGCGCGGGAGCAAGCCGTTGGGACAACCCCGCAGGCACCGAAATGGTCGCGGCCGCGCTCAGGCGGGAGGCAACACGAAACCAAGTTCTGCGGCGAACCCGATTCGGGTGAGGATGGGCTACCACCCCCGGCCTGGACGCAAGGGTTTCTCCCTGCGCCCGATTCAGCTGACGATGGGTTACCACCGCCTGCCCGGAGACAATGGGTTCACCCTGCCCCCGATTCGGCTGACGATGGGTTACCACCGCCAAACCGGAGACAAAGGATTCCCCCTGCCCCTGGGATGGGTTTCCCGCTTGATGGGTTCCTAACAGTTCACTCGCAAACGAGCCTTTCCGCCTGATGCTCCCTCATATTCAAGCCTTAGGAACCCTAAAGTGGGGACAGCGACAGGGTTGAGGATGACCCGCCCGGATTCAAAACCAGGAGGTGCGGGCCTACAAGGGCTCCCCGCCTGATACTTTTCTTATATTCAGGCCTCAGGAGCTCAAAAGTGACGACAGTTACAGGGTTGAGGATGACCCGCTCGGATTGAAAATTCTTTACGCTTCGCGTATCCCCACCAACCCATCTCACAGCAACAACTCTTGCGAAGCATGCCGACAGTCGTGTTTTTCAGGCGTGTGTCCGCTTGGCCCCGCATATCTCCCCTGTTCCTCCTTCCTCCCGCCTCCTTGTTCATCCTCCTTGTGGGGGGAGCGGGAGAAGGACGAGGCGGAGGGGGAGGGAGAGAAAGCGCTCCTCGTGATTTGGGTCGTTGGGGGTTTCTCGTCCTGGTGTGAGTCGTTCGGGCCCTTCTTCCTGGTGTGAGTCGTTCGGGCTCTTCGTGGTGTGAGTCGTTCGGGCTCTTCGTCCTGGTGTGAGTCGTTCGGGCTTCTCGTGGTGTGAGTTGTTCGGGCCCCTCATCCTGGTGTGAGTCGTTCGGGCCCCTCCTCCTGGTGTGACTCGTTCGGGCTCCTCGTGGTGTGAGTCGTTCGGGGCCCGCGTCGTGGTGTGAGTCGTTCGGGCTCCTCGTGGTGTGAGTCGTTCGGGCGCCTCGTCCTGGTGTGAGTCGTTCGGGCTCCTTGTGGTGTGAGTCGTTCGGGCTCTTCGTGGTGTGAGTCGTTGGGGCCCCTCGTCCTGGTGTGAGTCGTTCGGGCTCCTCGTGGTGTGAGTCGTTCGGGCGCCTCGTCCTGGTGTGAGTCGTTCGGGCTCCTTTGTGGTGTGAGTCGTTCGGGCTCTTCGTGGTGTGAGTCGTTGGGCCCCTCGTCCTGGTGTGAGTCGTTCGGGCTCCTCGTGGGGCCTCTTGGGGACCTCTTGGAGCCTCTTGGGGCCTCTTGGGGGCCTCTTGGGGGCCTCTTGGGGGCCTCTTGGGGGCCTCTTGGGGGCCTCTTGGGGGCCTCTTGGAGGCCTCTAGGGAGCCTCCTGGGGGCCTCTTGGAGGCCTCTAGGGAGCCTCCTGGGGGCCTCTTGGGGCCATCTTGGGGCCTCTTGCGACCTCCTCAGGAGCGCAAAGTAGAGCTGCCCCATGAGAAGGACAAAATGAGCCCACAACCTTTGTCAACTCAATGATTTTGCGATGAAGGAGGATGAGCGCGGCCCCCTCAGAAGGCCGAAATGGGGCCAACACCATAGTCAAATCAATGATTTCTGCTTCGAAGAGGAGTAGAGGCGCCAAACTCCCCCCCGCCCCTGGGGGCCAGAATCCTCGTGAGGGTCGTCGTTTTTTGGCCCTCCCAGGAGTCGAAAAAGACCCCCCTGATCCCACTCGGCCCGCCCTCTCCAGGCCCAGGGGGAGGGGGTAGGGGGAGGGGTAAACCCCTCCCCGAAAAGGAAGAAGGGGGGTTGAGAACAAAGAGAGAGCTCGCTAAACCACTCACGCCCAAAGAGCTGGTGGGATTATGACGCTCGGACCCCATAGGGAGATTGCTCCCGCCTGGGACTTCCTCGCGCTTCACTCACAGACGAGGCTCCCGCCTGATACTTCCCACATAGTCAGGCCTCAAGAGCCCAGAAGTGACGACAGTTACAGGTTCGAGGATGACCCGTTCGGATTAAAATCATAAACTACGGGCTCCATGAGGAGAGGGTTCCCGCCTGAGACTTCTTCGCAATTCACTCACCGACGAGGTTCCCGCTTGGTACATCCCATATATTCAAGCTAGCGAATGAGTGGGTGAGTGAGTAAATGAGTAAGTCAAAGGTTGAGGAGTGATATTGGTGATGAGATGATGCAGAAGATTGTGTGATCGAGTGATGGTCAAGGTGATCAAGATGCTCAGTGCGTGTGAGTGAGTGCGAGTGTGCGTGAGCGTGTGTTCCTGTGTGTCCGTGCGCGGGTGTCCAGAGAAAACAGAAACCCCAATTTGGATATGAGGAAACCTGCAACAGTTCCGCGGATTGAGGGCGGGTGGTTTTCAAAATGTGATTCTCGCCCTAGCGTTGCGCACGTTCGCTTTAAAAATTGCAAGTGCTTCACGGGTTGAGGGCGGTTTCTTTTCAAAATGTGGCTCTCGCTTTAGCGCCGCGCACATTCGTTTTCAAACTTTGCAACAGTTTCACTGCTCCCATGATCAACGTACCCAAAAATATGTTTTGGAAGTTGATTTGCGGTGTTGAAATCCCTAGCATGGCGCCCTGGCACGAGTCTGGATCGTCAAGTCGCAGCAGTCAGGTTGATATTTGGCGTTGAATTCCCGAAAATAATGTTTTGGCATGCTTCAGGATCTTCAAACGGTTGTCTTCCAACGAGGTAGTTCCCTCGATGGAAATGAATCGCTGTGGGGGCCTATGAAGAGGGAGCTTGGAGGGAGGGTAAATTCCAACATCGTTGGTGACTCTTGGTTTTACACTGGTCCTCCTCCTCCTCTTCCTCCTCCTCCTCCTCCTCCTCCTCCCCCTACCCCTCCACCTCCTTCACCCCTCCAACTTATGGTGCTGGTGGTGGAAAACGGGCCCATCACGACGCGCCGATGGCGACGGCGGTTCGAGTAGAGAAGTGATCTGCCCCAGAATTGTGAGCTGTTCGTCGAAGCTGCGAACAGGTACACGTTTTTTCGTATCATGCGTCGAGGAAATCAAGTTTGGGGCGAGTCAATTCTGTACTCGATCTCGAACGGTGGCGACGGCCCACGGCTCAGCGAGGTGGAACATAAGACTCGAGTTGGCCGGAACTCGAGGTGTCCTGCGCCTTTTGACGGTCGTGGGGCGTTTGCAGGGGAGGTCGCGTCCAGTTTCAAACCGGGTTTCGTCATTGTCCTAACGGCCCCGTGAGGCCAACCCGAGTCCTCTTTACCCGGGTGTGTGTTGACAACGGGGGCCGTCTTCGTCGCCACGGCTGGGCGCGCTCCGGGAACATGGTGCGTTTTGACCCCTGGAAGGGTCTGGGCTCCGATCTTGAGCCGCCGCCGTCTCGTCGCGCCCTGCTCCGAACGGCGGCGGCGGCGGCGCCGTCGTCGCCGCCGATGTCGACGCCGTTGTCGACGTCGACGTCGCCGTCGTCGTTGTTGCCACCGTCGCCGTCGTGGTGAGGCGCCCCGCCGTCGTCGCTCTCGGCTTCCCCTTGGCCTCCGCGCCAGAGGACGTCAGCCTCCCGCCCCCTGCCGCTCTCTCCCAGACCAGGGCGCGCTCCGCCTCGACGCGTGGCCGCCGGCGTCGTCGCCACACGGCCGTCGCCATGGCCATGTGGCCGCCTCCGCCGTTGCTCCCCCCGCCGCTCTGCCTCGCCCCGCCCGCCCGCAGCGCGCACGCGTGGCGCCGACGTCGCTCTCTCTCGCGCGGTGTCGTGTCCCACCGCTCTGCGCGCGCGGCCGAGTGCGCCCCCCCCCCCCTTTGCGGCGCCGAGGCCGAGGCCGCCCCCCGCCGGTCTCCACGGCGCGGGGTGGCTGGCGCCGCGGCGGCGCCCGGCGGGTTGGTGGGCGGCCGCGGCGCCCGCGGCGCAGCGCGCTCGCGGGGCCCGCCGACTCCGCAGTCGCCGTCACCCTATCCCCACCTGAGTGGAAGGAGGAGAGGGAAGAGGAGGAGGAGGACGAAAAGGTAACCTAGTAGTAGTAGTAGT